ATTTAAAAAAAGGAATGAAGTTCGGATACATGCTATAACATGAATGAACCTTGAAAAATTATACTAAGTTAAAGAAGCCAATCACAAAATACCACATATTGTATAATTCCATTCCTGTGAAATGTCCAGAATAAACAAATCTATAGAGACAGAAAGTAATTAGTGGTTGTCTATAGCTGGGAAGGATTGGGAGGGTCCAGTATGTGTGTTTTTTCTTTAACACATCAAACAATTCCCCAAGTCTCAGCAGACACTGATCAGGTGGCCTACAAATTTAACTCAATTGTGACTACCTGGAGATAGTGTCAGATCTTGCAGGTTAAGGGCTCAGTCCTCCAAGACTGCCTCCACTTAAGATGCCAATAGCAAGTCCAGGTTGTCACCTGTGCTTCTGACTGACTGGCTATAAATCAGAGGTTCCCACAAACCCCTTCTTGGGTTCAATTAATTTATTAGGGTGGCTCACCAAATTCAGGAAACCAGTTTATATATTAGATTACCTGTTTATTAGAAAAGGATGTAACGGAAATAGCCAGATGGAAGAGATACATAAGGCAAGGTATAGGTTTTTATGGAGGCTTCATTACATAATCATGATTGATTAAATTATTGGCTATTGGTGATTTAACTCAATTTCCAGCCCCTCTCCCCTCCCAGAGGTGGGGGGGGCTGAAAGTTCCAACCCATTAATCATAGTTATTTCCCTGGAAACCAGCCCCCACCCTTAGGTTATGTAGAGGCTTTCAAAAAGTCATCTCATTGACATAAACTCAGGTGTGGTTGAAAGGGGCTTGTTATAAATGATAAAAGTTAGTCCTATCAGTCAGAAAATTCCAAGGATGTTGGGAGCTTTGTGCCAAGACTCCAGGACAAAGATCAATATATATTCTATTATACCACAGGGGGTGATGGCTAAAAGGGTTTAAGGTTTGTTTGGGGGGTAATGAAACTGTTCTAAAATTTATTGTGGTGATGGTTGCACAACTGTGTAAATATACTAAAAACCATTGAATTATACACTTAAAAAAACAACAACAAAAGGACGGAACTGGTTCACTATACACAATAATGAATGAATCTCCAGTGAAAAAATCCAATTCCAAGAGGTTGCATCCTGTATGATTCTGTATGACAAAACTATAGAAACAGAGAACAGATTAGTGGTTGCCAGGAGTTAAGGAGGCAGGGGTGGGAGGGAAGTGGGTGTTCTACGAAAGGGCTGCATGACTGATCCTTGTGGTGATGGGAATTTTCTGCACCTTGACTGTATCAATATCAATATCCTGATTGTAATTTTAGAGTTTTGCAAGATGTTACCATTAGGGCAAACTGGGTAAAGGATACACAGTATCTCTCTGTATTACTTTTTATGATTTGTATGTGAATCTACAATTACCTCAAACTACAAAGTTTAATTTAGAAAAGAATAAAATGGCATAATCAATGTAAAAGCCCTGTCTTAGTCCATTGAGAATGCTATAACAAAATACCAAAACTAGGTGGCACATAAACAATGGAAACTTATTTCTCACAGTTCTAGAGGCTGGTAGTCCAAGATCAAGGTTCAAGCATAGTTTGGTGAGAGCTCTCTTCCTGATCCATAGCCAATGCCTTCTTGCTGTGTCCATACATTGCAGAAGGGGTAAAGAGAGCTCTCTGGGGTTCCTTGTACAGAGTACTAATCTCACTCATGAGGGTTCCACCCTCATGACCTAAGGCCCCACCTTCCAAAGGCCCCACCTTCTAGTACTATCACCTTGGAAATTAGAATTTCAACATGTGAATTTGAGATCCAGAACATCAACATTCAGACCATAGCAAACATAACATAAATTCTAAAATTAAGTGCAAATAATTATTATGCATCTTTTATGAGAATGAATAGCATGGAACTATTGTGACTTTATTCACTCATTAATTCGAAAAACACTTAGCAAGCCCTTACTATGTCGAAGCACTAGGTTATATGCTGCATAGCATACAACTTCATGAATTTATGGTAAAATCGCAGTTTTTGCCATGTTGCAAGTTTTGTCTGAGCCTGGGTCCTTTTTGTGAAATGCAAGTCAGTTGAAATATAAACATACTTTGGAGGAAAAACTATTTTTATTTACTGATAATCACTAATAGTTCTAATCAAAATCAAAAGTTCTTAATTATCTTTCATAACTCTTATACCCAACTATAAACTTAACATCCCCACCTAGGTATCTTGTTCTCAAGCCCCAAAAGTACTAAACTGAACTTTTGATCTCACTCTCCAAATCTGTTCCCTCCATCACTCATCTTCTGCAACTTATTAGTCTATTGCACTTGTTCAAGCCAGTAACATA